TCTTTTCTGATGGTAACTATTTCCAGTTGTATATGCCTGACACGCAGCAGCCGCATCTCCCAGGGGTGTCCCTGGGCATGACTGTGACCTTGAGCACCCGCTGCCCCCAGAGTCCTCTCATCACAGCTCTCACCTCTGTCTTCATTGGCATCACCAGATGGGCAACTTATAAAGGCCCTGCCTAAGGAGAAAACTCACAAGGCCTGGCATGTTACTCAGTGCAAAGACCCTGCGTTCATCCCCCATGACCGAAGAAGGCTTGATCTTATGAACAATAAAAAGAATAGCAAATTAAAAGAAAACTAAATGTGACTTTTGCCCTTTCATTTTGGCACAAATGTGACACAAAAGTTGAAAGGTACCTGGTGCTTTTGAGGTGGGAACTGGAAATGATTACTTAATGCATTCATTGAATGGTAAAAAATTATGTGACTTTCTGAAAGGCAAGTAGAAAATATCTACTCAACTTTAAACACATGAGGAAGGCATTGGAATGTATATTATGCCAATATTTATACAATTTTGCCAAGATCATTATGTATAAGCATTTGTAAAATGAAGTAGATGAAGAGGGAGAAAAGGATGAAAAAAACCCTAAAGTGCCTAAAATAACTGAATATAGCCAAACTCCTAGCTCATTGTATAAATAAAGAAGATTGATTGTAGGTAAATAAATCGAGAATCAAGTATCAGAGCAAGTTACTAGATAGCGCTCAAACAGCAGAAAAGCACATTTTATACTGAAACAAAAATGGCACTGTGAATTTTAGGACATCCTTGCCTGAGAATTCAGAATCTGGAGTCAGTGGTAAAGTGAAAGTATGGGCTGTTGTACTTTCATTTTACTTCTCGGTGCTACAATTTTATTTCGAAAGCCTGTATTTATTTTTAGGGACGAAAGTTATTCAAGATAAGTCAAGAATTTATCTGTACTTTCACTCTATAGTCAAAAGCATTCTTCCATTTCTCCACAAGATGGCACCAAAGAACATTAAATACAGTATCAGCAAGCGAAACTAAATCTGAGGTTTATATTGAAAAGTGTTTTCCCATATGTCCACAAGGCGGCGCCAAAGCACATCAACTATAGCAGCCAAAGGAAAAATGGATCTCTAATTCATATTCTGAAACTTTTTTTCCATTTCTTGACAAGATGGCAGCAAAAATCCATCTCGTATAGCAACAAAGCAAGTGTCAGAGTGGTCTGAAATTGAACACTGCTGTTAATGCCACAGTTGCTTTTGTACATCTGACTCCTTTTGTACATCTGACTAGCACGTGTTTTTGTTAGATTGTTTTTGTTTCTGATAAAATAACTATGAATTAACTGTAAGCTTGATAAGTGAGAGAAAACACAAGTCACACACTGTGGCAATACTCAGAAGCAGACAACATTAACAATCTGGCATTAATCTATACTTTGAGATATGTGAGAGAAAGGAGTAGCTACACATTTGTAAATCAAAATGTATCCTGTCTCAGCTCGTTTCTCTTCTACCATCTCTTGTTAAATTCATCTGAACTCATTTCCCCAATTGCTTTGAGATGGTGACTTTAAAATTTTTTAAAATTAATTGTTTGGTACCAGAAATAAAACTCTGGGCCTTGACTTTTTGAGCCAGGTGAAGCACCACTGAGCTAAATCCCCACCCAAGGTGATGATTTTTAAAGGTTACAAGGTGGTCACTCAGTGGTTCTTTTCAAGTTCTTTAATTGATTTCAATTAGTCATTTAGGCTGTTGTCTTCCAACTAAAACAAATTTTCCCATTTATCAAGTGTTCAGAAAAATACTATAGTCACCATATGAATCACTACCTAAAGTTCATGCACATTAATTATCAATTTTTTCATCACTTCTGTGTACTTGTGGTAATGAGGAAGGAGCCCCGTGGCCTCGATAATCAGCAATACCCCTATTTCCACATTTTTATTTTGAGAAAGGTCCTCACTAAATCTGTTAAATCACCCAGGCTGCATTTGAACTTGGGACCCTAATGTTTCACTTCTCTGAGTGGCTGAGACAAAATGTCTTAAATTGGCAAATATTGTGCATCCTTTATATCCACAATCTTGGACATTAACTAGAAAATCTTGGGTCTTGGGTCCTTGTGCTTGCAAGGCAGGCCACTGAACCGCTGAGCTAAATCCCCAGCCCTGCATACTGAATTTTAAATACACATACATTAATAGAATCATGGATGGATTTCTTTAACTGGCTAAAGGTTTTCATAGAACATCTGCCTGTGTTTGTGTAGACTGAGCTAATAGTCAATAACCTAAAACCCAGCTCCATAAACCTTGGGTCCTTGTGCTTGCAAGGCAGGCCACTGAACCGCTGAGCTAAATCCCCAGCCCTGCATACTGAATTTTAAATACACATACATTAATAGAATCATGGATGGATTTCTTTAACTGGCTAAAGGTTTTCATAGAACATCTGCCTGTGTTTGTGTAGACTGAGCTAATAGTCAATAACCTAAAACCCAGCTCCATAAACTATAAAATAATCTACTAATTAGCAGCTATTTCCAACATTGGATATCAGAGAATCCTACTTTCACCACATTCCCAAAGGTTCTGCGACCCTGTGAGGTCTCATAGCCATGTACCTCCGCCTTTGCTCCTCCTTCAGCCGTTACCTGTCTCTCCACTTCTCACCTTCTTTTTCTCCCTTTTTCATATTATAAAAAAAATAAAATCATAATATGGCTGTTCATGGTTGCTATGCATCACTGTAGTGGCTACTAATACAGAGTGAAACTCAGTACTGCAAAACTACACTGCCTCCTGACCTGCAGCAAACCACCCCCGTCACTTCCTACTGTGTGGCTCTGAGCAGGTCTGATGTGAACACACAAAGGCCTTTAGCCAGGGGACAGATATTCCAGTGTCTCTGTTATCATTTCTGCCCTTAAAGATAATTTCCTGAATTACCACTTAGAAGGCCAGAATTCAGAATTGTGTCTCACTGAGCCGTACTCAGGGAGTGAACAGAACACCCTGGGCCACACCTTCTCAAGGTTCTGAAGTAGAGCTCTTTTTCACCTTTCCACCTTCTCAGGGCTTCACATTCTTGGTCTCCTATATAAAACCTCCCACAGACAAGCTGAAAATGTAGGCGCCTAGCATTCCTCTCAGGCCTGGGTGATGTGAAGGGATAAAGGAGATGCAGCCAGGGGCTTTGGAACTTTTGGCATCTTTGTCTTCTTGGAATATCCTACACCAGGTCCTGTACTCAACCTGAGTAGGCCATATTCTCAAGGATGAGGGGACTGAGACAAAGGTTGCCTTGTCTTCCTCCTGTGGCCCTTCTTCCAAGAAGAATGGTTGGAGGCCCAAAGAAAAGGGCCATTTTCCCTCACTTAAACAGTAAAGGTCTTAGTGTGCTGGTGTTCAGGGGCCTTTCACAATCTTGGCTAGACTTTGCTCTAGTTTCTGAAATGGAACTCCTTTTCCTCCATCCCACTTCTCAGAGATGCCCCTTCCTAGTTTCCTACTTTTCCAATAGCCACCAAGCCAGCACTGTGGGCTCCCTCCATTCCGCAGATACCTCTCCCAACATCCCAGCTCCTTCATCACATCAGAGCCTCGTGTTCCCTCCTACAAGCCCACTCTAGAGGACTCTGTGCCCACTCAGCCTCTGCAGGGACAGGTGCCCATTGAACAATCCTTTCCTCACATCCGCAGGTCCCTATTGCCCTGGCTGCCTCCTATTCACATCCCCATCCTCATTTCCCTGCTTCCTCCTTTCACGCCTTCCCTCAGTGCTTTCCTTCCCATTCCATGTCTCCACTTTCCTCACTTAACATTAGACAGAGGATTACTGCCATCATATACCATTCAAATGAAGTTTCTACTTAGCCACCTTGGGAATCCTGTGGCTCCTTCATTCTTCAACATGTTTTGGAAGTGCCGTATAAAGGGGCATTGCAAGAAAACCAAATGTTGGACTCAGTACATGATCTAATTGTGTTTGAGTTCCATTCAGTTGTCCCAGGTGTGATGCCACAACCTGGACTGTGTAGTGAAATCTTGGTACACACCTCCACTCACTGCTTCAAAGGGATGCCTCCTTGTGGGATGGCAGTGAAATAGAACTGTGCTGGTATGTAGAGACTTGTGTGACAAGCAGGAGTAAGGGAGACCCAGGCCGGGCCATTGGGCTTTTTGGCATCTCTGTCCTTTCAGAAGGTCCTCCTCCAGGTCCTGTCCCCAACCTGAGCAGGACACGCTTTCCCAGATAAGGGACCTGTCCCAAAGGGTGTCTTGTCTTCCTCATGTGGCCCTACATCCCAAAAAAGTGGTTTTAGGCTGAACCAGAAAGCTCATTTGCCCCAAGTAAAACAGCATCTGTCTTAGTGTGCTGGTGTTCAGAGGCCTTTCAAAAGGAAACCCCAGGCAGTTTATGGCACTTCTGTTTAATCCAGCCATAGAGCCAAGGCCATTGTTTTCTTTAATGTGTCCTGCCATCTCAATTGCCAAAGGAGATGGGTAGGACATGGATTTCTGAAGGAGGAAATAGATATGGAGCATGTATTGGTTGAGAGACAGTGAGGCAAATTTCCAAGGCCCAAGCGTAAATTCAGTGTCCACAGAGGCTAGCAGAGAGAGTGCACAGTGAGTTGCAGGGCCATGACACACCTCAGCAGTCATAATGCCAATGCATTGGCAGCTCAGAACTGTGGCCATGGTTGAGGGGGAGGGGTCAGTTGTGGGACTCATGGAGACTGCAGCAGACAGGCTTGGCCCTGAGTATCATCCCCAACCATTTGGGCAGATCTCTCGGATCGTCCACAAACATGCAAGGGAGAAGAGGCACTGAGGACACTGTAAGGATCTTTGTCTCTCAATCATGTTGGCCAAGGGTTGAGGGCATCACCATGATTCATGGCCAGGTCTTCTATTTATGGAGATAAAGTCCCAGTGACATCCAATGTGCCTTTCTCACCAGATTTCATGCACAAATCAGCTTTAACTTATTTATTCAAATGATTTTGGGATTGTCGCCACCATTCATCTCCAGACTTTCTCGCCTTCCTTTCACATTGGAAACTCTGTGTCTCGGAACTGTCACCTGAGACTCCTCCCTGTGCGCTGGCCCTGGAAACACTTTTGTCCTGTCTCTTTCTGGTGTTCCCACTCAAATGTCCCTAGGAAGGGAAACACACAGGAAGGTTGCTTGTCTGCGTGGTGTCCTTTGCCCCATCCAAAGTCTTCTTCCTTCATCCCTCTTGTAGCAGTTGACCCAGGCCTGTGCCTTCTTAAGGCCCAGCATGTTGGTTATACTTTTCTTGAGTCTCTGATACAGAACTCATTTCCTCCCTTGTAGCTCCTCTGGGCTGCCCCTTTGTAGTTTCCTACTTTTCCCCCAGCCACCTAGCCAGCGATTTACCTTCTCATTGCACTGATTTATCTCCCAATTTCCCAGCCCCTTCACCATATTAGAGCCTCCTGGTCCCTCCTCCAAACCCTCTGCTGAGCACACTGTGTGCACACAGCCACTGCAGGATCAGGTGCACATCTGACCCTCCAGCTTTTCTCACAATCACAAAAGGCCCTATTGCTCTGCCTGCCTCATAGTCACATCATTGTCCCTCATTTCCCCCCTTCCTCCTTTCATGCCTTCCCTCACTACTTTCCTTCTACTCCTAGTACTCCAGTTTTCTCTCTTTTAGGAAGACAACTGATTTCAGCCCTCCAATGTCATGGAAATGATGATGGTCCTTAGTTGTCTTGGGAATTCTCTTTCTCGTCATTCTGTAATGGATTTGGAGGTGCTGCGTTCCATGGCATTGTAAAACTAGAAAAAATTGGCTCAGTACATGATATCATTGTGTATGAGATGCATCCCATTTTTCGAGGTCCTATGTCATGGCCCATACTTTGTGCTGGGATCATGGTACATATTTCCCCTTAATTCTTGGAAGGGATGGGTCCTCAGGCAAAGGCTCATAAATAGGCCTGTGCTGGGATTTTGCAGCCTGTGTGACATGTTAAACTAAGGTAGACCAAACCAGAACCTTTTTGTCTTTTTGGCAGCTCTGTCTGTTCAGTAGGTTCTCCTCCAGGTCCTGGCCCTCTAAATGAGAAGGCCACTTTCTGCTAGGTGAAGGACCCACCCCTCAGGTTGCCCTGCCTTCCTCCTGTGCCAATTCTTCCAAGAAGAGTGGTTTTAGACCCATGGAGATGGGTCCTTTGTGCCAATTTAAACAGCAAAATGTCTTAGAGTGCTGTTGTTCAGGTGATTTTCACAGGGAAAACATAAGCAGTTGGGTGTTTGATCTGTTAATCCGGGCCTTCAGCCAGGACCGTAGTTTTGTTAACTTTGTGTGACTCTGTAGCTCTCCCCTTGAGTGTGGGAACTGGATTTTTGAAGGAGGAAAAATATATTGAGAAGTGTTGTTTCAGAGTGAGTGAGGTAGATTTCGATGGCCTAGATGTCAATACAATGATAGCAGAGGCTGGCAGAGAGTGAGAGTGCATAGTGAGGGTCAGAGCCAACCCAGAGCTCAGCTGTCATAATGCTGGTGAGTTGACCACTCTGAGAAGAGTAGACATTGGTGTGGGGAAGTGTGAATAGTGGGAACCATGGAGATTGAAGCAGGCAGGCTTGGCCCTGAGTGTCACCGCCATCTGTTTGGGCAGATACCCTGGATCCTGCTCAAAGTCACAAGTGAGAAGAGTCCCTGAGGACACTGTGGATTTTTGTCTCTCAGTTGTGGTGGCCCAGGCTGGAGAGTGTCACCATGCTTCATGACCAGGTCCCAGAAGACCACAAGCTGGTGAGTGAGCACTGTGTTTGTCAAATTTATGTATGCTTTTAAGTGACACAGAAACACAGTAGCAGCCAGTGTGCCTTTGTCACCGGTTTTCAAGTACAGCTCAGTTTACCTAGTTAGTTCACAGGACTGACAAACTGTCATCACCACCCATCTGCAGACGTTCTAGCCATCCCTCCAAATGGGAAGCTCTGTGCCCTGAAACAGCCACCTGAGTCTCTTCCCAGGCCCCTGGCACTGGCAACAATTTCCTCCTGTCTGATTCTGGTGTTCACACTGTAAAGATGGCATTTATGGAATCCTATGTAATGTGATATTGTCTGTGTGGTGTCCTTCACACCATGAGAAATGCTCTTCCTTAGGCCCTCTTGCAACCCTTGACCCAGTCCTGTGCCTGGTAAGGGCAAATATCTTGGGGAGACTTTTCTCTAGTTTCTGAAACAAAACCCAATTTTCTTCTATCCCACTTCTCAAAGACAAACCTTCCTAGTTTGCTACTTTTCCCCTAACCACCAAGCCAGCACTGTGGGCTCCCTCCATTCCTCAGATTCCTCTTCCAACGTCCTAGCCCCTTTGTCACATAAAAGCCTCCTGTTCCCTCCTACAAGCTCACTGAGGAGGACACTGTTACCACCCCACCACTGCAGGAACAGGTGCCCTTTGAACTCTCCTGCTTTCCTCACATCCGAAAGTCCCTCTTGCCCTGGCTACCTCCTGTTAATATCCCCTGTCCTCGTTTCCCTGTTTCTCCCTATCATGCCTTTCCTCAGTACTTTCCTTCCACTCCCGTGTCACAGATTTCCTCCCTTTCCAGTAGACAGAGCATTAGAGCCCTCAGATATCATTGTTGAAATTCATTGTGAACTTGGCCAACTTTGGAAACCTTTTCGTCATCATTCATCACCATGTTTTGGAAGTGCTGTGTAAATTGTCATTGTAAGAAAACAAAGTGTTGGACACAGTCTAGGATCTAATTGTGAGGCCATGCCTTGGGCTGTGTAGTGAAGTCTCAGTAAACATCTCCACTTACTTCTTGGAAGGGATATGTCCTTGTGGAATGGCTGGAAAATAGGACTGTGCTGCTACATTAAGACTTGGTTGACAAGCAGGTTAAGGGAGACCATGCCAAGGCCATTGGGCTTTGGCAGCTCTGTCTTTTCAGAAGGTCCTCCCCCAGGTCCTGTCCCCAATCTGAGCAGGACACTATTTCCCAGGTGAGGGACCCACCCAGCAGGTTGCCTTTTCTTCCTCATGTGGCTCTGCTAACCCTAAGAGATGTTGTAGACCCCAACCTGAAGGTCCATTTGCCCCAAGTGAAGCAGCGCCTGTCTTAGCATGCTGGGATTCAGGGAACTTTCACAAGGAAAGCCAAGGCAGTTCATGCTACTTCTGTTTAATCCACCCATTGAGCCAAGGCTCTTGTTTTCTTGAATGTGTTCTGTGATCTAGACCTCCATATAAGATGGGTAGGATTCAGATTTCTGAGGGAGGAAATAGATATGGAGGATCTATTGAGAGGAGTTGGATCAGAGATAGTGAGGCAAATTTTCAAGGCCCAGGTGTAAATTCAGTGTCCACAGTGGCTGGCAGACAGTCAGAATGCACAGTGAGGGACAGGGCCATCACACATCTCAGCAGTCATAATGCCAGCAGATAGGGAGCTCAGAACTGTGACCGTGGTTGTGAGTGAGGTCTGGATTGTGGGAACCACGGAGACTGAAGGAGACAGCCTCAGCCCTGAGAGTCATCCACATCCAATTGGGCAGATCTCTTGGCTCGTCCACAAACATGCAAGGGAGAAGAGGCACTGAGGACACCATGAGGATTTTCATCCATCACTCATGATGGCTGAGGGTGGAGGGCATCGCCAGGAGATTAAAGTCCCAGTGACATCCAATGTACCTTTCTCACCAGATTTCACATATTGTTCAGCTTTACCTTGTTTGTTCACCTGATTTTGGGATTGCCTCCACCATTCATCTCCAGACTTTCTCACCTTCCTTTCACTTGGGAAACTCTGATTTTGGATGTAAGGATAGCAGGAGAGTTCAATGGGCACCTGTTTCTGCAGTGGTGGAGAGGGCACAGTGTCTCTGGAGTGGGCTTGTAGGAGGGAACATGAGGCTGTCATGTGACAAGGGGGCTGGGAAGTTGGAAGAGGAATCCGAGGAATGGTGGGAGCCCACAGTGCTGGCTTGGTGGCTATGGGAAAAGTAGCAAACCAGGAAGAGGCATCTCTGAGAAGCAGAATGGAGGAAAATGGGTTTTGTTTCAGAAACTAGAAAATAGTCTGCCCGAGATATTTGGCCTTACTGGGCACAGGTCTGGGTCAAGGACTGCAAGAGGGCCTAAGGAAGAGCATTTCTTATGGAGTGAAGGACTCTGCACAGACAATAACCCTTTAGGTAGGAATCCACAAATGCCACCTTTATAGGGTGAACACCAGAATCAGACAGGAGAAAAGTGTTGCCAGTGCCAGGGGCCTGGGAGGAGACTCAGGTGGCTGTTTCAGGCCACAGAGCTTCCCATTTGGAAGGATGGCTAGAAAGTCTGCAGATAGATATTGATGACAGTCTGATAGTCCTATGAACTAACTAGGTAAAACTGAGCTGTACTTGAAAACTGGTGACAAAGGCATACTGGCTGCTACTGGGACTCTATCTCACTTAAAAGCATACATAAATGTGAAGAACAGAGGGCTCACTCACCAGCTTGTTGGCTTCTGGGACCTGGTCATGAAGCATGGTGATGCTCTCTAGCCTGGGCCACCATGATTGAGAGACAAAAATCCTCAGTGTCCTCAGGGAATCTTCTAACTTGCATCTTTGAGCAGGATACAGGATACCTGCCCAAACGTATGGGGATGACACTCAGTGTGAACTATGTCTGCTGCAGTCTCCATGGTTTTCACTATTCACACTTCACCACACAAAGGACTAATCTTCTCAGTGTGGCCAACTCACCAGCATTATGACAGCTGAGCTCTAGGTTGGTCCTGACCCTCACAGTGCTCTCTCACTCTCTACCAGCCTCTGCTATCATAGCTTCGACATCTAGTCCTTTGAAATTCACCTCATTCACTCTGATCCTACTGCTCTCAATAACACTCAAATATCCAGATTCCACCCCCCCCAAGGGGAGATCTACAGAGCCATACATAGGTTAATAAAACTATCGCTCTGGCTCAAGGGGTGGATTAGCAGAGCAAACACCCAACTGATTGTGTTTTCCCTGTGAAAGGCCAACAGCACGCTAAGACATTTTGCCATTTATCATAGGACAAATGGGCCCTTCTACTTGGGACTAAAACCACACTTCTTGGAAGAGCAACCACAACAGCAAGACAGGGTAAGTTGAGCTGTGGGTCCTTACCTGGAAGAAAGTGGCATGCTCAGGGGGGTGGGGCAGGACCTGGAGGAGGACGTTCGGACAGAGCTGCCAATAAGACAGAAAGGCCCTAGCTGAGTCTCCCTTAGCCTGACATGTCACAAAGGCCACAAAATCCCAGCATAGGCCTATTTATGAGCCTTTACTCAAAGACCTATCCCTTCCAAGAAGTAAGGGGAGTTGTGTACCGAGACCCCAGCACAAATTACAGGCCAGGACATAGCATTTCCAACAGTTGAATCCACCTCCTACACAATTACATCATATACTGAACCAACACTCTCTAGTCTCCCAATGCCATGAAACACAGCACCTCCAAATCCTGTTGCAGAATGATGAGAAACAGAATTCCCAAGTCGGATAAGGAGATTTATCATTTCCATGGCACTGGAGGGCTGAAATCACTCATCTTTCCAAGAAAGAAAACTGGTGAACTGAGAGTACAAGAAAAGTGGAGAGGGAAGGCATGAAAGGAGGAAGTAGGGAAATGAGGGAGAGTGAAGTGACTATGACGCAGCCAGAGCAATAGAGCCTTTGTGATTGTGAGAAAAGCAGGAGGGTCACATGGGCACCTAATCCTGCAGTGTCTGTGTTCACACAGTGTCCTCAGCAGTGGGTTTGGAGGAGGGACCAGGAGACTCTAATGTGGTGAAGGGGCTGGGAAATTGGGATAGAGATCAGTGGAATGCAGTTAAACTAAAGCTTTAGCTAGCCAGCTAGGGGAAGAGTAGGAAACCAGGAAGAGGCAGTCCCAAGGAGCTCAAAGGGAAGAAATGAGTTCTGTATCAGAGACTCAAGAAAAGTTTATCCAATATACTGGGCCTTAAGAAGGCACAGGCCTGGGTCAACTGCTGAAAGAGAGACAAAGAAAGATAACTTTAGATGGGGTGAAGTACACCACACAGACAAGGAACCTTCCTGTATGCTTCCCTTCCTGGTGACATTAGAGTGTGAACACCAGAAAGAAATAGGACAAAAGTGTTCCAAAGGCCAGGGCACAGGATGGAGACAGGCGGCATTTCCAGGCCACAGAGTTCCCCATCTGAAAGGAAGGTGAGAAAGTCTGGAAATGAATGGTGGTGACAATCCTAAAGTCAGGTGAACAAACAAGGTAAAGCTGAGCCGTACATGGAATCTGGTGTGAAAGGCTCATTGGGTGTCACTGGGACTTTATCTCCATAAATGGAAGACCTGTTCACGAAGCATGGTGATGCCCTCCACCCTCAGCCAACATGAGTGAGAGACAGAAATCCTCATGGTGTCCTCACTGTCTCTTCTCCCTTGCATGTTTGTACACGAGCCAGGAGATCAGACTGAATGGACTGGGATGACTCTCAGGGTGAAACCTGTCTGCTATATTCTCCATAGTTCCCACTATTCACACTTCCCCACAACAAAGACTACTCTTCTCATAGTGGTCAACTTACCAGCATTATGACAGCCGAACAGTGAGCACACTCTGTGGCCTAATTGCCTTTACTGGTACAAGCCTCTGAGAAATGTGCTTCTCACTCTGCCATGCAGAGAGCTACAAACAAGAAGGAATACACTTTAGCTCCTCTACAGAAGTGGAGTTTACTGGTAAACTCACAGAGTTGCAGCTGCTTGCTCCAAGAAGTAACTCCTAATTTTGTCCTCTGCTCCATTAACAGCTATAGGAAAAAAGGCTCAGTAAAAATGTGGCTGGCAATTGTTCAGTTCAAAATGCAGATGGACTCTGAAAAGTGTGTTTGCTTTCTAACATGAAATTCTACTTATCTCAAAGTTCACAGATCTTCAAGCACTTTTTGGGAGTAGGAATTACTGAGTACTCTCTGTGGCCTAAAAGCCTGTACTGGTAAAAGCCTCTGAGAAATGTGCTTCTCACACTGCCATGCAGAGAGCTAAAAACAAGAGGGAGTACCCTTTGACTCCTCTAAAGAAGTGGTATTTACTAGCTAACTCACAGAGTTGCAGCTGCTTGCTCTGAGGAATAACTGCACGTTTTGTCCTCTCCATTGACTTCTAAGAGAAAAAGGGCTCAGAATAAATGTTGCCAGCAAAAGTGAATTTCAAACCGCAGAAGAACTCTGCAAAGTTTATTTGTTTTCTAAAATTAACTTATATTTAGCACTAAGTTTCCTGATCTCCAAGCCCTTTTTGGGAGTAGGAAGTGCTGAGCAATTTCTGTGCCCTGGTACAAGCATCTGAGAAATGTGCTTCTCACTGTGCCATGCAGAGAGATACAAAAAAGAAAGAATACCATTTTTCTCCTCTACAGAGGTGGATTTTATTGGTAAACTGACAGAGTTGCAGATGCTTGCTCTGAGGAGTAACTGTACATTATGCCCTCCCCTCCATTTACTTCTGCGGGGAAAAGGGCTCAAGAAAAATGCTGCTGGTAAAAGTGCTGTTCAAACTGCAGAAGGACTCTGCAATGTACATTTGTTTTCTAACATTAACTCCTACTTATCACAAAGTTTACAGGTCTCCGAGCCATTTTGGGGAGTAGGGACTGCTGCACACTCTCTGCGGCCTAAGTGACTTTACTGGTACGTGGCTCTGAGAAATGTGCTTCTCACTCTGCCATGCAGAGAGCTACAAATAAGAAGGAATGCCCTTTGGCTGCTATAAAGAAGTGGAGTTTAATGGTAAACTGACAGAGTTGCAGTTGCTTGCTCTGAGGAGTAACTGTCTCCCCTCCTTTGACTTCTATGGGAAAAAGGGCTCAGGAAATATTTTGCACTCCACTCTGTAGGCCAAACTGCCATTCAAGATGCAACCTCCTGGAGATGTGTTTATAAATCTGTCATGCAGAGATCCAGAAACACAAGGAAATACTGTTGGCATTCATTGCTAAAGTGGAGTTAAGTGTCACACCAGGGCAGTTCCAGCTGCTTTCTCTGAATAGTAACTGGACATTATGTCCTCCCCTACTTTGACTTCAATGGAGAAAAGGCCTAAGAGAACATGTTGGAATAAAAGCTGCTAGTCAAACTACAGAACTGTTCTGAAAAGTGTGTTTGGCTTCTCACATGAAGTTCCACTTAGAAGAATGTTTACAGTTCCCCAATCCCTTTTTGGGCAGTAGAACTGCAGGGAACTCCCTAGGCTAAACTGCCACTCCAAATACAAGACATATAGATATGTCCATATAACTCTGTCATGTAGAGAGCTAGAAACATGAGGGAATGCTGTTTTTCTTCATTTCTGAAATGGAGTTTACTGGCACTCCACTGCACTTCATTCTGCTTTCTCTGCGGAGTAACTGCATGTTCCATTCTTCTGTCCATTGAGTTCAGTGGGGAAAAGGCCTCAGGAAAAATGTTACTGTCAACAGTTCAGTTCAAGCTGCAGAATCATTCTGAAAAGTGTGTTGGGCTTTTCACTTCAAATTCTATTTATCCAACATTTACAGATCTCAGAGCCCTTTTTGGAAAGCAGAATTGTATGGCATTTTCTAGGACAAAATGCCATGAATTCTCACCACAAGTTGTATGTAGAATTGTGTGCAGCCCTCCAAGCCCTTTTTGGGAAGCATAACTGGTCAGCACTCTCCAGACAAAACTGCTTTTCTTTCCAGGTAGAAGCCTCATATATTTTTCCACATAACTGTTTCATGCAGAGAGTTACAAAAAGGAGTGAATACTGTTTTCCTCAGTTTAGTAAGTGGAGTTTACTGGTACATGGGTGCAGTTCCAGCTGCTTGATCTGAGGAGTAATTGCATGTTCTGTCATTCCCTACCTTGATTTCAATGGGGAAATGCTGAAGCAAAAATGTTGCCCTCAAGACCTCAGTTCAAATTGAAGAACCATTCTGAAAAGTGTGTTTGGCTTTTCATCAGAAGTTCAACTTAGCACCAATTTACAGATCTCCAAACCTTTTGTGGGCTGCAGAAATGCCTGGCACTCTCTAGGCCAAAGTGCCCTTCCTGATTCAAGCCGCCTAGTTATGTCCATATAACTCTGTCATTCAAAGAACTAGAATCAAGAGGGAACACTGTTTCTGCTTCATTTCTGAAGTGGAGTTTTCCTGCACACCATTATAGTTGCAGCTGCTTTTTCTGAGGATGATCTGCACATTCTATCTTTGCCTCCTTTGACATTAATGGGGAAAAGTCCACAAGAAATATTTTGCTGTCAAAACTTAAGTTCAAACTGCAGAACAACTCTGAAAAGTGTGCTTGGCTTCTCACCTCAAGCTCTACTTAGGAAAAATTGAAGAGATCTGCAGGCCCATTTTGGGTTGCAGAACTACCTGTTACTCTCTGGGCAAAACTACTATTCCTTGTTGCAAGTCTTCTAGATATGTCCTAATAACTCTAACATGCTGAGAGCAAGAAACAGAAGGAAATACCAATTTCCTTCATTTCTGAAATGGAGTTGATTTCCATACCACAGCAGTTCCAGCTGCTTTCTCTGAGGAATAACTGCATGTTGCATGCTAGCCTCCACTGACTTTAAAGAGGAAAAGTCCTCACGGAAAATGTTGCCACCAAAACCACAGTTCAAACAGGAGAACCATTCTGAAAAATGTGTTATGCTTCTCACCTCAAGTTCTACTTAACACAAAGTTTACAGAACTCCAAGCCCTTTTTGGGCAGTAGAACTTCACAGCACTCTCTAGGCCCAACTGCCATTCCTGATGCAAGTGTCATAGATATGTGCTCATAACTGTGTCATACAGAGACCTAAAAACACGAGGGAATAATATTTTCCTTAATTTGTGAAGCAGAGTTTAGTGGCATGCTGGTGAAGTTCCAGCTACTTTCTCTGAGGAGTTTTTTTTTGTGATGTCCTCCACTCCAGTGATTTAAATGTGGAACAGGCCTCAGATAAAACACCATGAAAACATCAGTTAAAACTGCAGAACCATCTTGAAAAGTCTGTTTGGCTTCTCACCGCAATTTCTACTTAGAACAAAATTTACAGATCTCCAAGGCCTTTTAGGGCAGCAAAACCACAGGGACCTCTCTAGGCCAAACTGTCATTCCTGATACAAGCCTCATAGATATGTCCATATAACTATGCCATTCAGATAGCTTGAAAAAAGAGGAAATAATGTTTTGCTTCATTTCTGAAGTGGAGTTTATTGGTACACAACTGCAGTTTCAGCTTGTTTCTCAGAGGGATAACTGCAGGCTCTGTCCTCCCCTCCACTGGATTTAATTGGGAAAAGGCCTCAAGAAATCTTTTACCATCAAAATTTCATTTCAAATGCAGAACCATTTTGAAAATTGTGTTTGGATTATCACTTTGATTTCTACTTAGCACAAAATTTACAGATCTCCAAGACATTTCTGTCCAGCAGAATTGCAAGACAGTCTCTAGGCCAAACAGCCATTCCCAATATAAGCCTCCTAGATGTGTGCTTATTATTTTGACATGCTGAGAGCTAGAAACATGAAGGAAGAATGTTTTGCTTCATTACTGAAGTGGTTTACTGGCACTCTGGCAAAGTTCTCCCTCCTTTCTCTGATGAGTAACTTGAAGGTCTGT